GTCTTGGATGGTCAGAAATGGCTAACAGTGACCAGGGAATGGCCAAAAGTGGTTGGGACAACCCATGGTGATCACGGATGGTCTTGGATGGTCAGAAACGGCCAGCAGTGACCAGGGAACGGCCAAGAGCAGTCGGGGCACCAAGAGGACCACCCCATCCACTCCAAAACCAGCCAAACCCAGCGTCTACCAGCCCACCACCCTCCTCACCCACCTTCAGTGCTGGCTCCTCTTCTTCCTCCTCCTCCTCGTCCGGGCAGACGTCCTCGGCCCCGCCCTCCAGCGCTGCCTCCAGCGCTGCCTCCAGAGAGACCAGGTGGCCCTGACGGTCCCGTGGCCCCACGCGCACCACCCCTTTCTGCTCAAAGCCGTGTCGTGCCCCCTCGGCCATCATTCCCCTGTGGGCACCCACACCCGACTCAGCCCCGGACGCCTGGGTTCTCGGCCCCGGACGCCTGGGTCCCCCTCGGACTGACCCGTGACGGGTGAGAATGAGCCGGACATCTTGCTGGCTCCGCCGAGGGTTGTCAGTGAGGACCTCCAGCAGACCCCAAATCCCCCAGGACCTACCGCGCCACGGATGGCTGCCTCGATGGAGGCCTTGGGCATGTTCTTCGCCCGGCACTGCTCCACCACGTTGGCCAACTGGCCGTTGAGCGCTGGGTCTGGGCCCCCCTCTGTGGGGAGAGGGGGTGCGGGTGGGATTAGGTGGGGCTGGGGAGACCCTCCCCAAATCCCAGAGGATCTGGGCAGGGGGTGTTTGTGGGACGGGGAGATCCTGGGGGATCTGGGAGGGTCTGTGGGGCAGAAGGACTTCTAGGATCCTGGAGAGCCCCACAAGATCCTGGAGAACGTGGGGCTGAGAGATGCCTGGTATCCCAGGGACCTGGGGGGTGGAGACACTTCTGCGATCCCAGGGAACCTGGGGGGATCTGCGGGGTGGAGAGATCCTGGGGGAGATCTGTGGGGGCTGAGGGACCTCCAGGATCCTGGTGGGCTGCACGATCCTGGGGGCACTGGGGATGAGACGCTCCCTCCCCCGCCCCGGGATCCAGGGTGGGGGAGATCTGAGAAGACCCGCTGGGATCCCACCAGCCCCAGGAGAGCCGCTGGGCTCCCACCAGTCTGGGGTCCACCGCGCCAGGGAACTTGGA